ATTGTAGCAATAAAACAGGCAATAAAAAATTTATATAGTGCAATTTACAATGCAGTGTCACTGAATGGTTTTAACTTATTAGAAAAATGAATAAAATGTTAATAAGTAGTTCGAAGAAGGAGAGTTTTGAACGACTTAATACTTTTAAGAGTGATGTTCACGAATAAGTGTAACATAAAATTTAATTTAATTGTTCAGGACCCAAATCTTATACTTCATCTGGTATCTACAATATCTACTATGTTTGTGCTTTCTTTATGGTCTTTCTTTGCTAGTGTGTTGTAAAATAATATGACACCAACTGTAAAATGCTTTTATGAAGAATAACAAAATCTTTTATTTTATCCTTTTTGTAAAACTACTTTTTGTAAAACAGGAGCATGGGAATTCATATGTATTTTTTAATTATACATCATAAAATTCAAATTGTTATTATAATAAAAAAATTTATATATATAATTTAACTTATAATAAAATTATATTATATAATTAAAACGTAAAAATTAAAAATAAAAATATACAGCAAAAAGTATAATTAATATAAAAAGAAATCTTATTTGATATACAGTTTTATAAATTAGAAATTTCTGTTAGATCCGTTTGACATTTACTTTAAAATAGAATATTCTAAAAATAAATGGTGAAATTCTTAAAATGTGCGATGTTTTCTGTGAAAAGAAAAGAATACCATAATTATTGAGAGTATACAAAATAATTTATTCACTGTGATGTTTTCAGACATGCGGGGTATACATTAAAGTAAATCCAACAAATAAGTACATATATAACTCTGTATATAGAATTGTAGGGAGCAATCATACACGACATTCCTCTGCGACATTTATACGCTTAGACGTTTCGAATCTATGAATGGCACCTATTCATTCCGTTTAAACGTTCTTATCCTACGATAACAGTTGATGCAGCAGCAACACATGCTTGTTACTACGCACCTTTCGTAAATAAAATCATCTCTTTTCTTGTGTCAATTTTTTTACAGAAGCGAATCATCTTTAATACTTTTTTTTATAAAAATAATTTTTTATAATTTTTTTATAATAATAATAGGAAAATAGAATGCATTATAAATCATGCCCTTTGGAGAATAATTGACGAAATCAAAAATAAGTCAAAAATAAAGAATGACAACATTGTGTTTGATATATGAGTAATTCTCAGCTTTAATTTTTTATAATATGATTAAAAAGTAAGATATAAGAAAGCATTTTATAGGGGATGAACAATACATTCATAATATTTGATGACTTTCCTTTCACGTGTTAATCTGTTTTTACAAACAAAATCTCAAATATCACAAAAAAGCCATTTTTTGTATATTAAACCTCAATTATTTTGGAAACCTGACGTGCTAGTGAAATTTGGCTTGCATTGTTTTCAGTCCTCAAAAATCAATGAGAAACACTTTGTCTGGTTTAAAGTAATTTTTGGCTCCAGTGTAATCCACGTTTTTTATCGCATTGATTTTGCGGCGTTCAATAATAAACGCTTATAGCGGAGCTAAAGAAATCACTGTTGGGTTCCCTCGGAAATTGTGCATCGCGCATGAAATCATCACATGCAATCACGCGTGACGTGGGGGTACCGCATTTAAAAGCGATCGGATCGGCTGCGCGATATCCTGACCGTTTGTTTTTAAGGTTACGACAGCTCTTCGAATTAGGTCAAAAGGCAGAGCTTGCGAACTGTCGACATGATGCTTGAAACACATCCGAATATTGCGAATATTTCTTCGCGTTTTGAGTGCCACTTCTGATAGGTATTCTCTATCCATGCAGGCGTTCTTCGGCTCTGTTCGAGAGAAAAAATGTTTTCTCGGCTGTGAAAAAAAATTAAATTATCTTTATCGCATTTTATTCCCCTCTTCATTTAAGATAAGAAAAATTATATAATGGTATTGGAAATATTGCTTATTGAACTGCTATTAAATTTTGATGTACACTATAAATTCTAAACTTTCGTCATATAACCTTCAATATGTCAGGACCACATATATCCAAAATGGCGGGAAAAAATTAATTGATTTTAAATATATTTTATTTTTTGCATACGTATATTCCTGATGCGTTGTAAAAAATAAAGAGAGATTACGAAATATGAAAAATATAAACATATATAATATATTATTTAGTAATATTTATCTACGATCGTGATATATATAATATGTATAATGTGTAGCTATCACGCGATATATGTGTATATATACATACATATATATATATTTATAACTCTTCGAATTAATGATAACTCTACCAGATGTCTGTCTATTAAAATTTTCATTTTTATCACTTTTAAGTATATGATTCTTACGAAACTAATAAGGACGGACACGGTGAAACAAGTTTGGAGAGAGCGGGTTTTATTTTATCCCTTCGAAAACACGTCGCGCCTGCGGATACTAAATGTATACTGGGGTCAAGTGCTGTAGAAATAATTTCGATCGAAGAGCTCGCGTATCGCATGAAAATAAATGGCGCTCGCGATATTTCGCGATTGTGCTCTTAATTAACAGAAATAGGTGGAACTTTTTATTAGCCACTCTTTTTTTAGCCTGCTCTTGTGTCATGGTTTTCGAAATAGTTTACAAATTTTCATGCTCGTGCTGAACAATTTATAATAAGAGCGCTGTATCATTACACTAGTTTACAGCCAATCATTATTTTAAATAAAAATGTTCCTTATAGATTTTTGGGTGCTGAAATAAATGATGCCGTAAATCAAATTTTACAAGCACGTCAGATTTCCAAAATAATTGAGGTTTAATGTATAAAAATGGCTATTTTTGCGATATTTGAAATTTTGTGTAAAAAAGGTTAACGTTATCGGAAAAGATCTGATCAAATATCATAAATGAATATTCTTTATCCCTTACATAAAAGGGATATGCATTATGGAAGTATACATTGTTTTTTATTTCAATTTTATTTTTTAGCCATATGTTATGATGAAAGATTAAGTTGTGAAATTATATGTATTTCTCATATGGAGATACTTTTAGAAGGAAAAAAGATTTTTGGAAAAGAATCATTTTTTTCCAAAATTGATTTTACTTTTATTTGTTCCTCTTTAGATCATACAGCTTTTGTCTGGGATATTTTTTCGAAAATGCACTTGTTCGAAAAATTCAAGTAATTAAAACGAAACATCCCCTATATACATTTAATGGAATCTATCACAATAAGTTACATTGTATGTGTATCGATAGCCTAAACTACAAATTATGAATATAATTATGACTTCATCGTCAAAAGTGGAATATTAGCTATCTCAACAAAACTCTGTACTTAAATCTTCCCTAACATGACTAAAAAGTAAGATACCGAAATTTAAAAAATGCATTTTATAGAGATGATGAACAATACATTCATGACATCTAATCAGAATTTCTAGATAATGTTAACTTTTTTCACAAAAAGAACTCCGCTTCAAATACATAGGATTTTAGTTTTTTATAGAATTTGCTGCATTTTTCCTAGTTATAACTTATGACTTGCTGAATAAAAGATGTCTTAAGAACAAAATATATTCTTAAAGCTAAATATTGGATGGCTACTGAGTAACAGCTAGTCAAATAATTGGCAGAGTCCGAGTTTTTTGAGTTTGACTGTAAACCAGTAACTGTCTATTATTTAGTTTTGAGACTGTTACATTTTTTGTTCAACAGATCATAAGTTACAACATATGAGAAAACCAGTTAATTTTATTGGGATTTAATTTTATCTAGGATTTTATATATCAAAAATGCCACATTCTGCATAAAATTGTATCTTGGTAAGATCAGCTGGTTTTCTCATATGTTGTGTAGTTTATGAAAAAAGCAGTCAATTCCATCCAAAGTCAAAATTCTATGTATTTGGTGCAGGATCCTTTCAAATATTGCAAAAAATGTAATTTTTGCATATTAAATCTCAATTATTTATAAAACCTGACATGCTGATAAAAATTGGCTTACGCTATCGTTTCAGCATACAAAAATCTATAAGAAACACTCAGTCTGGTTTAAAATATTTAAAAAAAATTTTTTGTAAACTGTTAACTGTTACAGATGAGATGAGGTATAAAACAGGCGACGCGACATAAAGCGCATGAGAGCGGACGTTTAATTTGAAACATACAGCGAGTAAAGAAGAACGGAATGTTAAGAATCTTAAACGTTTAATGAAACATAATCGGTTAATAGGTCTCGCACATTCAGCCAAAGCCGAGTATCCATGTGCATACGCGGCGTCTCTCGTGCATTCCGCTTCGCTCCCGGATATTTTTATCGTTCCTATAAAACTCTATATGCATTCTGTCCAGACTTTTCTCGTTGCACGTGGCTTTGATCGCTGTGATGAAAAAGAGAATAATTCCAAATTCCATATTGGATCTTTTATGTATTTTAAATATTTTATTTTAATTTATATATGTAATGTTACTATACTACAATTTTGTGTTTTAATTGGTGTATGTAAATACCAATTAAAACACAAAATTGTAGTATAGTAACATTACATATATAAATTAAAATATATATATATATATATAAGATATACATGGTCTATTATAAAAGTAATGTGCATTTTCTAAGAAAAATATATTTATTGATCGTACCGGTGTAAATGCTTAAAATTCTTCAAAATACTCTCCCCCAGCATCAATACACTTGCGGAGACGTGTCTGCCATGCCTGGAAGGTACCCTGAAACTCCTCGACGGGAATGTCTCTTATAGGAACGTTGTAACATGCTTTTGGATGTTTTACACGGACTCCCAATGCTTTCCTTTCAGCTCTTTCTTCAGTCGGGGAAACAAAAAAAAGTCGCACGGAGCCAAGTCGGGACTGTAAGGAGGCTGGGGGATCACCGGAGTGTTGCTCCGAGCCAGGAAATTGGTAACGATGAAGGTCGTGTGGCATTGGGAGTCCGTGGAAAACATCCAAAAGCATGTTACAACGTTCCTAAGAGACATTCCCGTCGAGGAGTTTCAGAGTGCCTTCCAGGCATGGTAGACACGTCTCCGCAAGTGTATTGATGCTGGGGGAGCGTATTTTGAAGAATTTTAAGCATTTGTACCGGTACGATCAATAAATATATTTTTCTTAGAAAATGCGCATTACTTTTATAATGAACCATGTATATATATATTAAAGTAAAACACCAAAATAGCAAAACGGGGAGTTTTTATATTTCCATTTTATATTTGGAAAACTGCCTTTTTTAGAGATAGGCTGCCCAGATAGCACTATGTTCAAAATTGGTGCATAAAACATTATTAAGAAATCTTCAAGAAATCTTATGATGTGATATTCCAAAGACACCTTAAAAACATCTTAAAGATGTTTTGTGCAACAATTTTGGAGATGGTGCTGTCTAGGTTATAAATTTGAATTAGAAAGATCATTTTTTTAGCTCTCAACGTGATTCAAACGATTTCTCGCGCGTTTGGTTTGCAGTGTAGAATGATAAATGGTGGCCACCAGCAGCATGGTATATGAGGAGATAGTTGGTATACGGGGCAGCTGACCCCAGCCGCCGCGCACGCTTTTCACGCGCGAGATGCCCCACAATCTAAACTCAGTTTCCGCCAATTCCGCCAACACAGGACCGAATCATCAAGCCTATCCTCAGCAGCCGCACCATCGAGAGAATACAGATGGACTCCAACCCGAGGTAATGTAAAAAAATTGTGTAAGGGATGCTGGAGTGACTTGAAAAGTCAGTTGTTTTTTTCCTTTCTTATCGACAAAATATGAGGTTAAATAAACTATAAATCTATTTATTGGCTATATGGATTGTTTTTTACCTGAAATTAGAACGCTTCCTCCTTTGTTAATATTAATACTTTAATTTGTACAGGAAAAAGATTTATCAATCTGTATAGCTTCATATACATCTTGGTTACAGAATTATGAATTCTAAGCATTCACATGTTATTCACGTGACCTTCAAATGACTTTCCAAAGTCAATAAATCAATGGCATTATTTTATGTCCCTTCGAAACCATACAATTTTTATCTAAAACGTTTTTTTTAAAATGCTTAGTGTTTGAAAGAAAAGAAGTGTACGGGTGATCTGAGACACCCGGTATATGTGTATACGCATATGTGTGTATATGTACGGTTATGTATGGTGCTAATCTATCGAAGTTCAGCCGTCACTCCAGCATCTTCTTAAGATGGTTTTTCAATTATGGCTTCCTTACAGAGGAAGCTTAACTTGCACAAAATAAAATGACGTGAAAACAATGTGCAAATTTAGCCTCCTCTATGAGAATAATTGAAAAACCATCTTAATAAGCAAAATGAAATGGTGAGGAAGCAATGTACAATTTCCAATTTGCAAAATTTTTTTCGTGAAAAATTTATTTAAGATTTCTACGTAACGTGTTCATAATATTTCAAAATTCGAAAATTTACAATTGAAAGAAATTCACATTTTCCAATTCACACCAAATTCAATAATTCTTTAATGATATTTTATTCTTAATGTTCCAAATTAAAAATTTTTCAAAAAAATGAACCCTTTTACCGATTTTCGTCAAATTCAGTAGCAATTATCCTTTAATCATAATCTGTTAATATAAAAGAAATTATCACGATATATTAACATTTATGGAAATTATGCAATTACAATTTTCAAAAAATTCAAAATAAAAAATAATCCCTTTCACCGATTGTCTTCAGACTCAATACTAATCATCTTTTAATAATAATTAATATAAAAAAATTTATCATGATTTCTTAAAATTTATGGAAGTTAATGCAATCAATTTTCATAAAATTTAAAATTAAAAAACAAACCTTTTCACCAATTCTCCTCAAACTCAATACCAACCATCCTTTAACGGTAGCCTATTTATATAAACAAATTTAGCCCGATATCTTGAAATTTATGGAAGTCAGAGCAATCACCAACATTTTTGAAAAATTCAAATTGCATTAAAATTTAAAACACTACGAATTTTTATAAAAATGACAGTAAATAATAGCGTTGTATTGCTTTACTTGTATGTCAAGAGCGTTGTTAGTAAAATACTTTTTGAGATATTTAAATTAAAAAAAAAAATAAGTGGCACATACATACACATACATATGGACATTTTTTTAAAAATGTGATTTTTCGATATTTTGAACACATTGGCATAGAAATAAAAAAAAAATTTTTTCATGAAAACATAGCTTCCTCTATGAAAAAGCAACAAGAAAGAAAAGTGTGCAAATTGGAAACTTGCACATTACTTCCTCATCATTCTATTTTAAAATCATAACGTAATAAAATTTGAACGTATGTGCAAAATAAGAAAGCAAAATAAAATTTAAATAAAATATGATCTATAAATTAAAAATAAATGAAAACACTTTTGTTTCTCTCTATTCTATCTATTATATCTATATTTTTATTATATGTATATTAAATGGTTATTTTTCAGAAAGAACCGGTGGAATTCGACATTTCGCACTTGCGAGGTGCTCCAGCGGAGGTCGAGACGTTGGTGCACAACATCAAGGAGGTGGCCCAACAATTTCTCTATCACTGGCGAACCTTCCCCATCGTTCTGCCACCGTCATTGTCCTCGTGCACGGAAGGCGAGGACACGTTGGCGCGAAAGAAGTACCATCTGAGGGACCTTTTTGTGGCGCCCAGCTTCGACGAGTTGGACGCCGTAGCTGTCGACAGCAAGGGCGAGCCCAGAAGACTGACCAACAAACAGCTGGAAAGCATCAGGGAACGAGGGTTAGTCTTATATAGATACCTTATAATTTTCTTTTATTCTTACTCCTTTAACGATTGTATTAGTTAGTCGTAATCTTGTATAATTACACTAGTTTACAAAATATATTTTTTTTCATTATTTTAAATCAGGCAAGGTGTTTCTTATAGATGTTTGGATACTGAAAACGATGCCGCAAATCCAGTTTTCATCAGCATGTCAGATTTCCGAAATAATTGAGGTTTAATATGCAAAAAATGATTTTTTGCTATATGAGATTTTTTTGTGTGAAAAAGGAAAATCTATCATAAATATTGAATGTATTGTTTATTCCCTACACAGTTGAAAAATTTGTGTTAAATTTAACAAATGTTACATGTCTCAAATGGTTCACAGAAATTTTTGTATTAATTTATTTAACATAATATGGATATATGTTAAATGGAGACACGAATACTGTGTTAATATTTTAACATAAAATAAATGCAAAACTTCAAGTAATTTAAAATAAATTTGATGTTAAATTAAAAATTAACTAAAAAAAATGTTAATTTTACATTCTATTTTCCCTACTTATAAAATAAAATTAACATTTTTTCTGTAAATTTTTTAACAAATAAATCTTGTTACTAATAAACCAGAACATATTTATTGTGCAAAATTAAAAATAGATGCACATTGTGTTATTTTTACATTTTTTTTTAGTTGTTTTAATAATTTAACATTTAAGTTTAGTTAACACAACAGCAATATATTAAATTAACATATGAATGTGTTAAATATTTAATACAAGAATTTTAACAGAGACCATTTTTAACAAGAGACTACAAATTTTTTTACTGTATATAAAATGCATTTTTTATTTCGATATCTTACTTTTCAATCATGTTAGGAAAGATTTAAATGCAGAGTTTTGCTGAGATAGCAAATATTCCGCCTACAATGATGCAGTCATATAATTTATATTCATAATTTGTAGTTTAAAGGGCTCCTCGCCGACCATATTGGATTTATGACGTCAGAAGCGAAAAAAGACACGCAAAAAATTCTTAAATACCCTTTCTAAATAAAAAGATAATATTTCGATGAAACAGCACTTCAGATAGTTTTAACAAACTTTTAAAAATAAATTCTCATTTAAAAATGACAGAATTTTCAGCGCATGCTTTCTCGCCTCTGACGTTACAATCTAACGTGGCTGTGCATTTTCGAAAAAAATTCTCCAGACAAAAGTTGTATGATCTAAAGGAGGACAAATAATGGTAAATATTTTTTTTCCAAAGAAACCTTCAGAAGTATCTCCATATAAATGTGAGAAGTAGTCTTCAGCTTTAATCTTTCATAACATAGCTAAAAAGTAAGATATTGGAATTTTAAAAATGCATTGTAGAGGATAAACAATACAATTTATGATATTTTATCTTTTCAGATAATGTTAATTAAATTTTACAAAAAAATCTTAAACATTCTCAAGTAGCAAACTGGCGTCATTAGGCGTCAAAATAACGCAAAAAAGCCAATTTTTACATATTAAATCTCAATTATTTTGGAAATTTGACGTTTCCAAAAATTTACAAGAAACACTTTGTGTGGTTTAAAATAATTTTTGGCTGTAAACTAGTGTATTACATTACATCGCTTAGCAACAGTAGATTTATAGACAGTAGAAAAAGATATCGCATAGTGTAATGGTAAATAAATAAATAAATATACATATATAAAATCCGTATCGGGACAAATCTGTTGATTTGACGACATTCAAAAACAAAATAAGCAAACGTGAATTTTATATTAATAGTACTCGTCTCGCTTGCGTTTTCAATGAATGAGATACGCAGAAGTTTCTTTCCCTGTGCCGGATAAATAAAGCGATCCTTGTGCTTCTTCTCTGCGTGTATGTGTATGTGTCTGATGATATGCTCTAACGATTTCTGTAAAGCTTACACAAGGATAAATATGGAAAGCCGAAGAAGCTGAATGCCACTCAATTGGAGAGCATTCGAAGATGCGGGTACGTGTGTTTGCACATTAGCGACAATATTTAAAACATGAATAAAAAAAATATGTTTGAGCAAATAAGACCAAATAGACCGGCGATTCGAGAATCGATTAATTTCTCATCTACATTTCTCGCATTTACAGCATGATACTCCATTCGCATTTTGATTGGTTTAATTTAAATGCTCATTCACGCTTACAATTAGAAATAAAGGAAGATAAATTATTATATAATACTTTTTTTGCGTAATCGAAACTAGAGATTGAGAATCTGACATCAGTTGTCGCATTCAATTGATGTGTACCTAGTTGTTATTTATATTATTAGTTTACAATTAGATTTTTTAGCTCATAATACATATACTATAGGGTACTCTACTTCAATTAATATGGTGGAATATTACTGAAACTAGGATTGTAACGAGAAAATATTTTATACAAAAGTTAAAAGGGATAACAAAGTTGCTGTATTGCAGCTTTTAGTTAGAAACTAAATATACTTTTTTTTAAATTATGTATTTTCTTTATACAATTGATTTCTCTCATTATGTTGTGCATAAAAGTATTGAGGTAAAATTGATCAGAAAATAAATATTTTATGAAATATTTTATAGTTTATGTATATAATTATATTATACATTAAAGTACATAATATCTTTCAAACGATTTATTTTCTAGTTTTCTTACTTTTATAACTTTTTATGCAGAATATTACAAGGAATTGATTTATAAAAAAATTAAGATAATATTCTATTAAGTTTTACTAAAATAGTCTTATTCTTAAAAAAATAAAAGAAAACTGGGTTGATCTTCAAATAATCTTAAAAAATTATCTTAATTAAAATTCAAACTTTCAAAACTTTTTTCCTCTCTCGAAGTCTCTTCTATGAATTTCGTTACAGCCATATTTTCAGCAATAAGTATTCAATATCTATTAAAATAGGATTGGTAAAACTATTGTAAAAGAAAAGAACCAGTTTTACCTATATAATCAATGTATAAGATTTAACGTTGTAGGATGCCGGGTTAACGTGATCAAATAATTGTACGCGTTTTGAAACGGTTTAATTTAGTTTATTCACTTTCTACAAGTTCGTCGCGTACCTAGACTTATGTTTCTCGGCGCTCGCTCTCTCGAGGACTGACTCGAGGGCTGCGCGAATTTCGGAGCTCGCGTAGGGCGGCAGCCGATCGGGGTCCTCGATTGGACCATCGGAAAATCAGGCGATGTACACACGCCAATTAGCGGCGAGTGTACACGTTGGTTTCACGTGTTTCCTTGGCGTAAACACTAAGGAATTTAACAAAAAACATTCTAGAAAATTCGATCGTCCTCGAGGATTCGATCCGAAGAACGAATCTTCAACATACCGCCCGCCTCGTATGCGAACGAATGCGAAATAAAGTTAAACGAAGCGGGAACGAATCGTCGAGGAAGATGATTACAAAACATACAGGTGAAGACGACTCGCGCTGAGAAAGTCGTCTCGAAGATTACATAACTCTTACAAGTTAGCGGCTTTATCCGTTGCGGACGCGTTAGAGTTATCACGTATTGGCAGTCGGCATAATTGCGCAATAGGTCGTTTCAATGTGGACCGTGCGGTGCGTATGGTCACAACTCGAACGAGTCCATCAGATCCAGGATGGATCTGCTGTACTCGGGCAAGCTCCCATTTGCTCGGAGGGAGCACGGGACTTTTAACTAATACTAATTCGCCTATTGCGAAGTTAGGAGACTGCTTGCACCACTTGTTTCGCTGTTGAAGCGAATGTAAATAATCCTGTGACCAGGCACGCCACACGGTTTCCTGCATGGCACGGACTAGTTGCCATCGCGAGAGCCTACGCGGGTCGATCGCGAGTACCGATTCCTCCGGAACGGCTACGAGGGGCCGTCCAATCAGAAAGTGACCCGGGGTGAGCGCCGACAAGTCACCCGGGTCGTCACTAAGCGGAGCGATTGGTCGCGAGTTAAGGCACGCTTCTATTTTACATAGAAGCGTCGCGAGTTCAGCCCTCGAAAGTGTGTGGGAACCAACAGCGCGCCTCAGATGCGTTTTAAGGCTCTTGACTCCGGCCTCCCAAAGGCCGCCGAAATGTGGAGCGGCGGAGGGAATGAAATGCCAGTTCACTCCGTCGCCTGCGAGCGCGTTTCGCAATTCAGCATCCTTCGATAAGGATTGAAAGTGTCGATGGAGTTCGTGGTTGGCTCCATGAAAATTTGTGCCGTTGTCGCTATACATGTGACGCGGCAGACCTCTTCGGCTAGCGAACCTCTGATAGGCTGCAAGAAAGCCGGGCGTGGAGTAATCTTCCACTAATTCGAGGTGAATCGCCCTTGTAGCAAGACAAACAAACAGAGCGATATATACCTTTCTGGCCTTTTGCCCTCTGCCGACGAATGAAATTACGTGGAGTGGGCCGGCGTAATCAACCCCACAATGAGTAAAAGGCGCCGAAGGGGTGACACGAGCGGCTGGAAGGTCGCCCATGAACTGAGAAGACAATTTAGCCGCTTGACGAGTGCAGACTACACATTTTCGAATGTGCGCCTTTACTGAGCTGCGGCCTCCAATGATCCAGTATCGCTGACGCAGCACACGGAGTACTAGCTGTGTTCCCCCGTGGAGCGTGGATTTATGAGCGCGATCAATTAAGAGATCGGATAAGTGATGTTTCGGAATTATTATAGGATGTTGCTCGTCATAGCTGAGCGCGGAATTCGTCAACCGCCCGCCAAGACGGAGTAAAGAGTCCTCTCCTAGAAAAGGACTCAATCTGCTCAACGAGCTCGAATGCGGTATGGTGCCGTTATTCTTTAGTGAGCGCGTTTCCCGTTCGAAGAATCTCTGTTGCAGATAGCGCAACCAGAAGAGTTCCGCCCTCCTAAACTCGTCGGCGTTCAGAAAGGGGGATTGTTGGGAGCGAGACGCGCTCTTTTCTTTTACACGATGAATAAAGCGATTCATATAGGCAGTCACGCGGACAAGCTTGGTCCAAGTGGAAAACCTATATGGGAGTTCCCAACCCTCGGCCTCTTGAACATGGAGCGTCACAGGCCGTCTTCTTTCCACCGACACCTGCTGATCGGTGACAGAGTCGAGCGGAGCTGAGACATTCAGAATCGGCCACGCAGTTGATGGTTTCTGAAGCCATCGTGGACCGTTCCACCATAGCGGGTGAGTCACGAGCTCGGAGGCGGTCAAGCCGCGCGAGGCACAGTCCGCCGGATTATCGCGAGACGGAACGTGATTCCAACAAACGGAATCCAGACCGGTATGCACCTCGGATACGCGGTTAGCCACGTAGGTGCTCCATTTTGATGGATGTTGACGGAGCCACGCGAGAGCGATGGTCGAATCCGTCCATCCGTATATTGGAATCGGAGGTAATTTCAATGATGTCAAGGTCCACTTGATTAGCCGGCTGAGGAGGACGATAGCGTTCAGTTCCAAGCGCGGGATGCTTACGGTTTTGATCGGCGCGACCTTTGTTTTAGCAGCGAGCAGAGTGATTTGAAACTTCGTTGGCGAAGGAAGCACTCGAATATAAACGACCGCCGCGTAAGCGCGGTTTGAAGCGTCGGCAAACCCGTGGATTTCGAACGCGAGGTTATTGGAATGTCGACCGGTCCAACGCGGTATTCGGACGCGGTTCAATGATTCTAAATCGTTGGTGTAGCTCTCCCAACGATCGCGCAACTCCTCTGGAAGAGGGGAGTCCCAATCACATTTGAGAAGCCATAATTCTTGTAGCAAGATTTTCGCGGTTACAACAACCGGAGCAGCCCATCCTAGTGGGTCGTATAATTTTGCCGTGAACGAGAGAACGGAACGTTTCGTGTGCGTAACCGATCTCAACGGAGTTATCACGAATTTGAACGCGTCCTCTTTAGCAAGCCATGAAAGCCCGAGAACCTTGAGATTATCTTCTTTTACGAGTAAATGATCGGTGACTTCCGGCTGATGAGCCGAAAGTCCTTGAAGAAGAGAGGAGGCATTAGAAGCCCACTTTCGTAGTTGAAAACCTCCCTTTCGCAGGATCTCAACTAGTTGGACACGAGCTTCTATCAATGAAGTCGTATCGTCCGCTCCAAAGAGTGCATCGTCCACGTAGAGGGACTCGCTGAGAATTGGAACGGCCGCGGGATAGTTGTCGCCTTCATCTAGAGAAAGCTGTTTCAGTACCCTCATTGCGAGGTACGGAGCGGGGGCGAGCCCGTACGTTACAGTGAGAAGGCGATAGTGTTCAATCGGCCCATCGGCCGACGATCGCCATAAGATTCTTTGAAAATCCGCGTCAGACGGATGCACGAGAATTTGGCGGAACATTTGAGCAATGTCCGCCGTGTAAACAAATTGCCATTGACGCCAGCGCAATAATATAGCGGAGAGGTCTTGCTGCAGTCTCTGACCGATCAGTAAGTGATCGTTAAGCGAAGTCTTATTGCTCGTTTTGCACGAAGCGTTGAAGACAACGCGCAATTTCGTAGTGCAACTCGAGTCGCGCAAAACGGGATGATGAGGAATATATACCGGCTCGAACTCGGAGCGGTCAGATAATTCCACCTTCCTCATGTGACCGAGCGAATTGTACTCTCGTAAGAACTCGTTGTACTGCGCGTGAAGTTCAGGACGAAGCCGTAGCTTTCCTTCCATTTTATTATAAAGCGAGGTTGCAATGTGCAAAGAATCACCGATTTTTATCGGGAAATCATGCCTGAAGGGCAATCGAACCGCATAGCGTCCCTGAGGGGTACGATAGTGGTTGGCGATGAAATGAGCCTCGCACCTCTCCTCCTCCGTGAGGGGGACAGGCCGCGAGATCTCCTCATCTTCCCAGAACTTCTGGAGAAGAGAGTGCGTGCTTTGTTCCAACACGCAGTTTAATACAGATGCTTGAGCAGTAGTAGTCGGCCTACTATTTGTGGGGCCGGAAAGGATCCAACCGAGAGCGGTCAATTGCGCTGTCGGAGTTCCAATAGGACCTTGACGGACATCGCGCTTCAGAAGCGAGCCGTAAAGGTCAGCACCGATCAACAAATGAATTTGATGTTGACTGGAAGGATCAGGGTCAGCAAAAGATAGACCCTGTAAATGAGGCCACGCATCGAAGGGCTGAATCCGCGAGGCAGCGTATGAAGTAATGCGTTGAAAAATGTAAGCCGTCAGAGGAAAGCTCGGATCGGCTTGAGCACACGGGGTTAACTGTAGTTTTACGCGCGATTTCGCAGTACCCGTGTATTTTTCGCCGAAGCATTTAATTTGTAAATCGGCTCGTTGCCGTTTAGTGCGCAACGCCTGTGAGAGCGATTCTGATATAAAGCTAAAAGTGGATCCTTGATCCAACAACGCGCGAACCTTTAAGCAGCGACCCTCCCCGGTGTGGAGGTCGACCCATGCGGTCGCCAAAAGGACATTTGGATGTTCCTGAAGCGAGGGGGGTACTATCTGGACGGCCGCAATCGTATTGACCGTTTGATTAGTAGTCGCATTAGATGCGGCTTGTGACGCTGATTCGGAGATAGTAGCCTCGGAACTGGCCAAGTTATCGGAGGCATTTTGATTTGCCGCTGAATGCAGCAATGTGTGATGCGAGCGACGACATTGTCTGCACCGATATTTGCTCGGGCATTTCGACGGGAAATGTCCGGACTTTAAGCAGTTAAAGCAGAGTTTATGCTGGCGCGCGAGAGCAAAGCGCTGTGAAGCTGATTTCTTCGCGTAGTCTTCGCATTTCGAAACGTGATGCTCACCGGAGCAACAAATACATTTAAAGGCAGTCACGTTGTTTACTGTTAAACGCGGTTTATCATTTTTCGAAAAACCGGAGTCCTTGCTTGAATCGGCAAAGTCCGACAATCCGCGTATACGGAGAGTTAAAAACTCATTAAGCTCCTGATAAGAAGAAGGCTCATTTCGTTTGATTCGCCTTAAATTCCATTCGGTACGTGTTCTCGCGCTAAACTTTTGCGTTATTGTATAAACAAGAATGTCGTCCCATTGTTCTACGGGACGATCGAGATTTTTTAACGCGGCTAACGATGCAGACACTGTGTCGCGCAATTTTCGCAAATCGCTGACAATCTCGCTTTTCATTACCGGAAGGCTAATAAACGCGTGTAAATGAGCATAGATTAACGCTTGCTTATCGTCGTATTCATTGGTTAACAATTGCCAGGCAGATTCGTAATTCGCATCGGAAAATTTTAAATTATTGATCAGCAAGGAAGCGTCTCCCGTTACGCTCGTTTTTAAGTAATGAAATTTTTGAGAATTTGAAAGAGCGTCGTTAGTTACTACGAGAGATTCAAAATGTTTCGGAAATTTTCCCAATCGGTTAATTTCCCAGAAAACTTTGGCAGCGCGATGCGTGGCAATTGGAAGCAATGATTATTTGTTTCGCGAACGGAGGAATCGGAACTACGATCGGTAAACGGAATTGTATTAGGAGATAATCGACTTATCGTATCTTGCAGCAGATCGGCCGTGTCGATGTAGACATCCTCAGCTCTCAGGAACTCTTCCAGAGTGAAATACGGCAAGGTCGTTTGCTGCTCCGTGGTCGTCTTTTGAAGCAGTTTGACATGAAGGCCGCGGCAGGCGGCCCAGTGCTCCTCCAACTTGGCAAGCCTACTTCGCGTCTTGGCGAGTGTCACGTTGGATTTGGCCAGCTTCTTGAAGTTGACGAGATCTCGTTTGATCTCGTCAATACAAGCTCCCTGCTCGATGAGCAGGTCACTCACGGCAGTCGACATGATTATCGATGCCGGATTGTTGAATCGTTTATCGATTATTCGCTACTGAAGCGAAATCTTCAAGCGCGCGCGCGGACTTGAAGCGCCCGCTGATTGACGCGCGAGAGAGAGAGAGAGAGTCCGAGCGCGAGCTAGCGCACCGTCTCGTTAAGCCGTTATCGGCTGTCTTTCTCACACGAAGCGATTGCGTGGCGCGTGATAGCGGCGTCGAAATTGCAAATCGCGTGGTTTTTTAAATCTTAGAAACGTCGAAAATCACCGGGATGATCGAGAGAGTCAAGAGATATGCACGACGCGGACGCGTGATAGCGGCGTCGAAATAGCGAGTCGCGCACTTTTTTAAATGTTTAGAAACGTCGAAAATCAACAAGATAATCGAGAGAGGCACAGAGTGATGCACGACGGCGGACGCGTGATAGCGGCGTCGAAATAGCGAGTCGCGCACCTTTTAAAATGTTTAGAAACGTCGAAAATCACCAAGATGATCGAGAGAGTCACAGAGAGATGCACGACGCGTACGCGTGATAGCGGCGTTCGCGGTCGTTTACACTTCGGTCTGCGAGAGTCAAAAGTCAGTGAGAAAAATGCACTGGTTAAGATTCACCGGTGCGGTGCGCGTGATAGCGGCGCACGTTCACTGAGAGTCACTGTTAATCAGTACGAGTCACGATTAATCATTGAGAGTCACTGCGAATACCGTAACGCAAAGCGCGTGCTTGCGGCGCTTGCGGATAACTCGCGTATGTTCACCGCACTCAATTAAAAATCACTGGCGCGTGATAGCGGCGCCGGAGTTGAGAGTCACTGAGCGCGAGTAGCGGAGTACACGTGCAGTCACTAATCTCGAACGGCGTTTAACTGCCGTCCGAATGCAAGATTGCAAAGCGCGTGATAGCGGCGCTTGCACTGCAAGTGACACTTCAACGTCGAAATTCTGTCTACTCAAATGCAGAATTCGATGTACACCGGGTACGTGAGGGCGCGTGACCGTCACGTGGCCGGAGCGCCGCGGCTTAGGCCGGAGCGACGGCAGGCGCGCGGCCGAGAGAGCCGCAGCTAGAGAGAGAGAGAGCGAGCGAGAGAGCTTCGGAGCGCGCGGCGTGATACCGTCTCTCTCGCTCTTCACGTCTTGGAGAGAGCGCGAGAGAGAGAGAGAGATAGACTGTTTCGGAGCGCGCGCGACGGCTTGTTGTCTTGTAGCGCGGTCTCACTCCCGCACACGGAGTTTTTCTACTCTAAACGAGAACGCGTAATTAGCGTATTTCTCTTGCCGCGGATCACTGCGTTTTTAAATTTACTGCCCCGATATAGGCACACGAGGCAGAAATTGTCAATTGTTCGAATAAGGTACGAAACGAAGGAGCCCGTTCTTTTCGCGATTTCACTATCACTCGATCGGTTTTTAATATCCGGCTCGAAGGACCATTTTTATATGTATAAGATTTAACGTTGTAGGATGCCGGGTTAACGTGATCAAATAATTGTACGCGTTTTGAAACGGTTTAATTTAGTTTATTCACTTTCTACAAGTTCGTCGCGTACCTAGACTTATGTTTCTCGGCGCTCGCTCTCTCGAGGACTGACTCGAGGGCTGCGCGAATTTCGGAGCTCGCGTAGGGCGGCAGCCGATCGGGGTCCTCGATTGGACCATCGGAAAATCAGGCGATGTACACACGCCAATTAGCGGCGAGTGTACACGTTGGTTTCACGTGTTTCCTTGGCGTAAACACTAAGGAATTTAACAAAAAACATTCTAGAAAATTCGATCGTCCTCGAGGATTCGATCCGAAGAACGAATCTTCAACAATCAATGATAATTAATAATTCAGTATAGATCCTATCGAATAAATATCTTTGATAAATTAGAATATTCTATTTTAATTGAAAAACTAGGAAACTAGGAAATAGATATTTTATTGCTATGTAAATATAGTTTTGTAATATGGTATGTAAAAGTATGCTATCTTTACTTATTGTATATTACAACATATTTATACAGGGTGTCCTAGAATTAGTAGATGTTAATGGCAGATTCTTAAGATCATTTAGAGACGATTTTTCCTCAACAAAAATATCAAGAAACCAATAATTTTTGAATTATAAGCGATTGAAAATGAAGGGTTTTTTACAAACTATCAATAAGCCTTGTGAAGTTAAAATATTAACAAAACACATTCTTCAATTAATTTCAAATAAAATTGATTTTATAATAGAATTTTAATTCAAGGGTTAATTTCAAAAATCTTCTCCAAAGAATCCCAGAAATCAGAATTCTAAATAGCAAAATGATATATTTTGACGTCAAAATGACGTCATAATAATTATTATTGCTATCTAGGACGATCCGCTAATTCTGGGACACCCTGTACAACTAATAAACTAATAAACTATTACTTTGTAAGATAAGCGCTTTGGCGATGATGTCAATTGGAAACTTTCTGTCGTATCCGTATTTGGCTGAGCGAAAAAATTCTTTTCCGCAGAGAATTTGAAGTGGACTCGATCAACTTTGCCGGACAGACGCATCGATGGCGATTGAGCGGGCTTCTTCAACGTGGCCGAGACAGACGGCGGGACGCGCTGCTGACAGATCTCGCCCTGGCGACTAGGTTTCTCGTCGTGACTGCGAGGGCTAGATTGATCTCCCACTGTTTCAGCGTCTCGCAGTCCCTCAAGGCCTTCATCACGGGACTATTGCGACTTCTCGGTGGGCGATATTTGCATTTAATTGTCATATATCCGCATTAATATCAATATCGACGTATATGATGATCAAAATATAGACTTAACCTTGACTGACTTTTTCAAGGTCAGATCAAGGTCACTTTAACTTTTCAAATGAAAAGGATAAATAATTTTTACGACCAATATTGGCTAATAAATATTTAATAATTACCACAACGTTTTGACCATGGGTTTTGGTACTTATCAAGTGTACTACAATAAAGTAATTACAATAAATTCATAGTAATGCGTAAAAATATATGTAAACAAAACGTTAAACTTTACCTTAAAATAAAGTCACTACATTTTTATATAAATAGGGTGGGTGATTTCATTTGAAAAATTAAAGTGACTTTGACCTGACCTTGAAAAGGTCACTCAAAGTTAAGTCTATATTTTCATCATGTAACTCCTCTTCATATAATACAACTTTTGTCTAAAACATTTTCATCTATTATGATAATTAAAGAAGAGATATTAAAATGCATTATTTAAAATAGGACACTCATGTCCCATTTGAATGTCTCATAGGGTGTCCTATTTTAATGTCCAATCCCAAATAATTGTATTTTTGATTGTAGAAAAAAATGTTTCAGACAAAAGTTGTATGGTTTCAGGGAGACATAAGGTATGATTACCAAAAATGAATATTTTACAAGATATTTTATATTTTATGTAAAAATTGTTAATTTCAAATCTTTATAATTCAAAAAGTACTTAATATAATGAAAAAACACTTTATTATAGGGATTTGGAAAGTTTTCGAGATAAGTTACAAAAATATGCAATGAAAAATAGGTGGCTCCATTTAAGAAACTGAAGGTGACCTTCAAGCAACTATTCAAGGTCAAACTAAGGACATCGTCTTATGTCCTATTCTTAAAAAAAAAGAAAACTGGGTTGATTTTCAAATCTATATATATAAGCACCGTCCGTCTGTCTGTCTGTCTGTCTGTACCCGAACTACTTCCGCATTTGTGGACCGATTGTCTCGAAATTGGTACCAAAATGTTGCAAATTTTTCGGGGGTGGCTGCTGTGGGTTTTTTTTTTTTAATTTTTTTATTTTTATTTTTTTCCTCAGAGGAGGGTATGTTTTTGCAAAAAAAATTTTTTTTGCAATATTTCTGAACACATGGTATCAAAATGTTGCAAAATTTTTAGAGATAGCGACGATGCGGTTTTTTTAAGTGTTACAACTTCCACCTACTCACCCACCCACGCATTTACTCACATGCATGCGCATTTATGGACCAATTTTCACGAAATTACCGATTTTTTTTTAAATCGGTACCAAATTGTTGCAAATTTTTTGGAGATGGAGACGATGCGGTTTTTTCAAGTGTTACACCTCCACCCACGCACCCACCCACGCGCATGCGCATTTATGGACCAATTTTCACGAAATTGGTACAAAAATGTTGCAAATTTTTCTGAGAAAGCTGCTGTGTGGGTTTTTTAAGTTTACACCCCCACCCACGCATCCACCCACGCAATCGCATATTTATGAACGGATTTTTTGTAAAAATTGGTACCAAAATGTTGCAAATTTTTTGGAGATGGCGACGATGTGGTTTTTTCAAGTGTTACACCTCCACCCACGCATTCACCCACACGCATGCGCATTTATGGACCAATTTTTACGAAATTGGTACAAAAATGTTGCAAATTTTTCTGAGAGAGCTGCTGTGTGGGTTTTTTAAGTTTACGCCCCACCCACGCATCCACCCACGCAATCACATATTTATGAACGGTTTTTGTAAAATTGGTACCAAAATGTTGCAAATTTTTTGGAGATGGCGGCGATGTGGTTTTTTCAAGTGTTACAACACCTCCACACGCATGCGCATTTATGGACCAATTTTCACGAATTGGTACAAAAATGTTGCAAATTTTTCTGAGAAAGCTGCTGTGTGGTTCTTTAAGTTTTATCCCACCTTGCATCCACCCACGCATTCAAACATTTATTCACAGACTTTTTCGAAATTTGTACTCAAATTTTGTCCGGGATGGCTACTATATGATTTTAACAAATTTTTTATCACTTTATTTATCCACCCACGCACCCCCCACGTATCCACGCACCCATGTGCATAAAAATAAATTTAAATAAAATAAAAAAAATAAATACAAATAAAAATATATAATAAATATTTAAATATATGCA